GAATCAACCATATAGATAAATATATTTACCAATGATACCTTGGACAAGGGTTTGATCTCCAAAATATATAAAGAGCTCATACAACTCAATGCCAGAAAGACAATCCAATTTGAAAGTCAGCAAAGGACTTGAACAGACACTTCTCTGAAGAGGACATACAAAGGGCTTATGGGCCATATGAAAGGATGTTCAACATCACTAGCTATCAGAGAGCTACAGGTTAAAACCACAATGAGATACCACCTCACACAAGTCAGAATGGCCATTATTAACAAATCAACAAAACAACAAGTGCTGGTGAGGCTGTGAAGAAAAGGGAGCCCTAGTGCAATGTTGGTGGGAATGCAGACTGGTGCAGCCACTGTGGAAAACAGTATGGAATTTCCTCAAAAAACTAAAAACGGAACTGCCTTTTCACCCAGCAATTACACTGCTGAGAATATACCCTAAGAATCCTGAGTCACCAATTGAAACAACTTATGCACCCCTATGTTCATAGTGGCGCTATTTACAATAACCAAATGCCAAAAACAGCCTAAGTGCCAATCAGTAAATGTGTGGATCAAAAAAGTGTGGTTCATTTGTACAATGGAATACTACACATAAGGAAGAAAGGAAGGGAAAGAAAGGAAAGGAAAGGAAAGGAGAGGGAAGGGAAGGGAAGGGAAGGGAAGGGAAGGGAAGGAAAGGAAAGGAAGGAAGGAAGGAAGGAAGGAAGAGAGAGAGAGAGAGAGAGAGAGAGAGAAAGAAAGAAAGAAAGAAAGAAAGAAAGAAAGAAAGAAAGAAAGAAAGAAAGAAAGAAAGAAAGAACCTACCCTTTGAGATAGCATGGATGAAATTGGAGAGTATTATGCTAAGTGAAATAAGCCGGGCAGCACAAATACCATATCTCACCTATAAGTGGAACCTAATCAACAAAACAAACAAATGAGCAAAATAAAATCAGAGGCATGGAAACAAGGAACATACTGAGAATGACCAGAGGGGAAGGGGGGAGGGGGATTAGGCAGGAAAGAAGGGGAAGGCCTAGGTAAAGAACAAGTGTGAGTGTCCTATGGACATGGACAACAGGGTGCGGATTTGATTATGGGAGGGGAGTGGGGAAAGGTGAGGGGTGGGTAGGACAGGGGAGTGCAACAGCGAGGCGGGGGATTGGGACAACTGTAACAGGACAATATTAATTAATTAATTAACTTTTTTCAAACGGCTCCCAATAATCCTGCTTCCTGGGATTCAAGCCCGTTGTAATTCTCTCCCCTTGAGTGTGGGCTAGATTTAATGATTTCTTCTAACGAAGTGATAGGATGTCAATTCTGAAAAAAGGTTACAAAAAAGTGTTACTTCAGCCTTGCTGGCATTCTCTCCTTGGCTCTTCTTGTATACCTACTTTGATAGAAACAACACCTAGTAGAGAACCTGACACCAGCCTCTGGCCAACAGCCATCAAACAAGAGAGACTCTCAGTCCCATTACCTGAAAGAAACCAGATCTTGCCAACAACCTTGTGAGTGAGCTTAGAGGTGGCTCCTCCCCTAGGAGAGCCTTCAGATGACACCACACACCTGGGCCAACACTTTGATTGAAGCCTTGTGAGAATCTGTGGAATGGAGGACCCAGCAAATTTGTGCTGAATTCTTGACCCACAGAAATGATATCATTGTATGTATGTGACCTCAAGTTACTAAATTTGGGGGTAGTGTGTTATGCCACAATAGATGACTAATACAGGAGATGAGGAAAACAGAGACCAAGAACAGTACCTATCAATACTTAATTTATGGCTTAAGAAACTGATTCTCTTTTTGACAACACCTGTCAACATTTCAGGGAGACAAATAGATTTTAGGGGTACAGGGACAAATAAACAAGCATTTGGTATGTTAGGCATCCAAGTGAGAAATTATGTGAGCCATAAATATGGTTTCTGGAACCCTTTTTATATGACATTAGATGCTGTACTTTTCCACCAATCAAAGCAGTATAATCCAAAACTTGGATTTAAATTCAGAGGAAGGAGGTAAATCAGGCTTTTCCTATTGCTTTAGCAGGGTATAAGAAAACAGTCTTCTGTTTGTTTAAGCCTAGTTCCCAGTTCTACTTTTGTTTGAGACCAAAACTCAGCTGCTAATCAAGGGTTACTTTGCCTTATTTTATCCTTGTTGCAAAAGTCACCTTAAGGGAGAGGGAAAGTGAGAAGGCAGATCCAGGAATTTCTGCTTCACTGGGCCACATACCAACATAACAGTGGTAAACCTGCAAGGCCTAAACAAAAGGCCTTAGCCCAGTGTTTCTCAACAAGACCCCCATGTTGGCATTTGACTTAGGACAATTTTTGGTTGTGCTGGAATGTCTTGAGCATTGAAGAAGATTTAGCATATACTAGTAGTACATGCCATGCATTGTGATGGTCCAAAACATCCTTTCCACAATTATGAATGCTTCCTGGGAAGGTACTTCACCCTCATTGAGAACCAATGTATTGTTTGTGCTTACACCCTGCCATGGTCCCATGTGTTTAAATATTCTCATTCCTAGAGTTTTAAATATAATGAGTTCTCAAAGAATTAAGATATAATGCTAATATGAGAATAATTCAAAATTTAATTGAAGTTTTAGATGATTTATAAGGCAATATGGAATCTTGTAGAAATTCAGAGACAAGTATAACTAGTGTTCTTTGTTCTGTTGCCATGCTAAAAAGAGAGTCAATAGAATGATGGCTGATTCATGATGAATAACATAACATGTATTAAAGCTTCAGATTTGTGACTGGGGATGCCCCAACATTGCTTGAGGAATTCTGAAACCTTGATCTGGTGATTGTGGCTGTTAAAGTGTCAGAAGAATTCATTCCTACACTTCGTTGTGAAGTTATTACTCTATCATATGTATATATGATAAGCTACATTTTATTGTGTTAACTACCACATACCTTTTATTGGACACCTATAGCCAGGCACTGTGCTAGTTTCTTTGAATGCATTATTTAATTTAATGCCTGGTGAGGTTGTGGGGAAAAGGGACCCCTAGTACAATGTTGGTGGAAATGCAGACTGGTGCATCCACTGTGGAAAACAGTATGGAATTTCCTCAGAAAACTGAAAATGGAACTGCCTTTTGACTTGGCAATTCCACTGCTTGGATTATACCCTAAGAACCCTGAAACACTAATTCAATAGAACCTATACATATCAATGTTCAAAACAGCACAATTTACAATAGCCAAGTGCTGGAAGCAACCTAGGTGCCCATTAGTAAAAGAGTAGATCAAAAAACTGTGGTACATTTACACAATGAAATATTATGCAGAAGAAAGAAGGAACTCCTACCCTTTGGGACAGCACGGTTGGAACTAGAAAGCATCATGCTAAGTGAAGTAATCCCGGTGGTGAAAGACAAATACCATATGATCTCACCTATACGTGGAACCTAATCAACAAAACAAGCAAGCAAAATATAACCAGAGCCATTGAAATAAAGAACAAATTGACAGTAACCAGAGGGGAGGGGGGAGAAAGATAACAAGGAAAAGAAGGGAAAAGGTCATCAAGGAACATGTATAAAGGACACATGGACAAAGCCAAAGGGGATAAGACTGAGGGTGGAAGGTGGGAGTGGGTGGGGCAGGGGTCATGGTGGGGTAAAAATGGAGACCACTGTACTTGAACAATAAAAACATGATAAAAATACATAAATAAATAAAAACTGTGGCACATTTACACAATGGAATACTACACAACAGAAAGAACTCCTACTCTTCTGGACAGCATGGATGGAACTGGAGAGCATTATGCTAAGTAAAATAAACCAGGTGATGAAAGACATACCATATGAGATCACCTATAAGTGGAACCTAGTAAACAAAACAAACAAATGAGCTAAATAGAACCAGAGACTTGGAAATAAAGACCAAACTGACAAAGACCAGAAGGGAGGGTGAAAGGGGACAAAGGGGAAAAAAAGGGGAAGAGGCAAACAAAGGAGCAAGAATTAGAGGACTCATGGACATGAACAATGTGAGGGCATGGACTGTGGGAGCTGGTAGAGGGGCAGGGTAAGGGTGAGCAATGTGGAAAAAGGTGAGACAACTGTAACTGAACAACAATACAATTTTTTTTAAATGTTGCCCTGGCTGGTGTGGCTCAGTGAATTGAGCATGGGCCTGTGAACCAAAGGATCACAGTTCGACTCTCAGTTGGGGCACATGCCTGGGTTGCAGGTCGGGTCCCCAGTGGGGGACACATGAGAGGTGGCCACGCACTAGTGTTTCTCTCCCACTCTTTCTCCTTACCTTCCCCTCTCTGTAAAAATAAATAAATAAAATATTTTTAAAATGTAATGACTACAAAATGCCTCTGTGGAGAGCAGTATAATCATTCCATTTTACATGTATGGAAATTAAGGCTCAGGAAAATTGTGCAACTTGTTCAGCATCATCAAGCCAGTAAGCAGCAAAGTGAGATTTCAAAACCAGACTTTGAAATTTATTTTATAGATTCTTTAAAATAGATCTAAATTAATTTCATCTGACAGATATCCATCAAATGTCAGGCCTGGCACTGGACATACAGGATAGAGATGTCGCTGTCTGATTGACTGTAGGGATAGGTACAGGAGGGGTTGGATAGATGGATAAAACGAAACAGGGAAAATGCATGGAACAATTAGGGAATCAGATGGAAGAGTGGGTGGCAATGGTAGGGTAAGTGTATGCGAGTGATAAAGAAGTAAACAAGAAGTATGCGAGTGAATGACTGAATGAACGCAGCGTACTTGACTGAGTAAATGAGGAAGTGAGAGGTTTTGAGGCTGCGCTACCTGCAACTGGACCTTGTGGAGGCTGGAGGATGGGCGGACGAGCAGCTACTCCACACTGTACGGTAGGCTCGGACCGCTCCTCCTTCAGCCCAGCTCGCGCCTCCTCCTCTCCCACAGCCTCCTCCCCCTCCCTCCGGGGTTGCCTGCGTCCCGGGCCCAAACCTCAGTCTCTGACCGAAGGAGGAGGCACCGCTGTGCTCTGCTGCCTTGGGCCCGCCACCTCTGCTCAGAGCGCAGCGATGCGTAGAGGTGCCGCGCTGGCCGGGGGCTGCCACTGCCCAGCCGAACCATGAAGCTCCGCAGCAGGACGGCTGTGCTGCTTCTGCTCGCACTGTCAGCGCTGCTGCTCGTGCTGCTGACCCTGCGCACTGGCCGCACCGAACCCCCAGCGCCTCCTGTGCGTCTGGCGTTTGCCCCTCAGCGCCTTCCCCCTCGGGCCCCTGCGCGCATCCTTAGCCAAGGCACCTTTACCGGCGCCAGGCAAAGCGCTCAGAGGCGCAGACTACTGCGTCCGCGCCCCAGAACCGGCAGCCGGGGCGCCGCGAGCCTGGAAAAGTTGGCGAGGTGAGTCGTGGCATCCCAGAGTCGAGCCTGGGAACCCGTGTCTCACCCCCTCCACCCTTGCCAAGTCCTAGGGAGGCTTTGGGCTGGAGGGATAGAGTTCAAGTTCACCCGAGAGTTGTCCATTTCTATTTCTTAACCTACTAGAAATGAAGGACCACCTTCGTGGAGTTCACTTGATGGCTAGTACTGATAATCAGTCACGTACTATGTTTTCCAAAGAAGTGTCAGGAGAAGTGGTTTGTATATTACATATTTTCTTTAACTGTCGAGGCAAGGCTTATATTTGCATTCTTGTAAACACGTGCCCTTTGTTTAATTTTTCAAGAGCCGTCACGGTGCAAGAATATTTTATTTAATTCTCATGTTGCATTGGAGACCTTTTACCAGACTCATAGATCTAATTTAGTTGAAAAAGTTAGATGTTTACCAAAAACTGGCTGCCCGTAGTTGAGCCTGGAATCACTTTGTGCTTAGAAGAAAGAAGCACTCGACCTAAGTTTATTAAAAGTTTTCTCCTTGAAACGAATGATGCGTGGCCGGAAAGGACACAGTGGGTGGGGGTTTCCCTGTGCTTTGTTCTAGTCAAGACTCAAGTCAAAGTCCTACAGAGAAAACATCTTAACCTTTTACAATATGTTTAATATTCTCTTTCTCTAAGTCTAAGCAAAGATTAACATGCCAGTTTTTCATCAGAGAGCATTATCTTTGGTTTTAGGGTTGCTGGCTGGGCCCCAGGTTAGGGATTGCCTTATTTTCTTCGTTGTGGAGAGCTTTGTAATGACCCCTTGTCTTGTACCTGTAGTGTATACTCTTCCCTTTCCAAGCTGTAGATATTTCTAATTAATTGCCTTTGCAGGGTTGACATTTGCTGAGCTCCTTAATTACTTGAAATGAGTTAAAGAATTCTTTTTGACTATAATTACTAAATGTGTTTTGGTGCTTTTACCGTAACTAAGAGAAAAGAAACAAAATCTCAAGAAATAGCTTTATCAGCTTTTCTGCCTCAATAACTGTACAGATGGGTGCTGACAAACTTGGGAGCAAAAAACCCCCAGTGATCTATAGAAATGTTTTTAAGGATTTAGAACCACTTGCAACCCCTTATGAATGTATATGCTTTTTAAAAAATGATATTTCTGTTAGGAACTTAATAGGGTTTTTCCTTTCTGTATACTGAAGTTTCTTATAATGGATTACGGTTCAACTACAAGTTTACTATGATTTGTAATTGATGGGACAACCTGTAAGATAATAACTGACACAGTTTAACATGGCTAACCAGTCGCAGTGCTAAGATCAGTACATAAAAATAATTATTGTTAACAGTTAATATCAACTACTTCATCTCCACCATAACCCTATGATAGTGGTTCTCAAAGTGTGGCCTTGGGCACCATCAGGCAAAGTGAAAGGTTGCCAGTTCCATTGCTGGTCAGGAGACATGCCCAGATTGCAGTTCAGTCCTCAGGTGGAGAGCGTAGGACAGGCAACCCTTCCATGTTGCTCTTCTACATCAATGTCTCCTTCCCTTCCCTTCTCTCTGAAAATATATCCATAAAGTCTTTTTTAAAAAGTGTGACCTTTAACCAGCAGCACCAGTGTCACCTAGGGCATTCTTAGAAAGGTAGATTCTCTGTCGTCATCCTGGACCCGCTATATCAGAACCATGGGAGTGAGATCAGTAATCTGTGTTTTAGCAAGCCCTCCCATTGGTTCTAATGCACAACAAAGTTTGAGAGGGGACTCTGTGAAGTAAGCACTATTATTGCCCTCTTACAAGTGAGGAAAGTAACACACAAAGTTTAGCGCTTTGTCCAAGGTTCATAGATAACGTGTGGTAGGTAAGGATAAAGACCCAGCAGCTGCCTGGGCCCGAGGTGAGCTCTTACATGCTATGCTGATGTCATACACTAGTCTTGCCTACATTTTATGATTTTTCTGAGATTTTTCTAAAGAAACAACATAGATTTTTGCAACTGTCTCATTCTTTAATGTATTGGGAATGCTGGGGCATAATTTTCTCATCTCTATCTGAAGAAACTGTCTCTGACTAGGAAGTGATCATGAACAGAATCTAAATGGATGATTTAGGGAAGGACTATTTCCATAAGCAGCAGTAACCCTGGAAGCTGTTTTTCTTTTGAACCTATCTCTTAGGTTATCATGAAAATTGTGGCCAATGTCATGGGAATAAAGAACAAAATTTAAAAAGGGAAGAGTGAAAAATAAAAGAGCCACAGGAAGTCTCAAGCTCAAATGCATAAACATAAAAGTCTAGTGCCCTCTGGAGAAGTTGACATTTTCTGGGATTTATTAATGTTTCTTTTACTACCTAGACAGAAATGGAGACAGAAGATTCTGAAGCAGTAAAGGAGCAGAAGGAAAGATCTCTGTATGGACTCCTTTATTGCATTTCTAATCCTGCCTGAGTAAATTTTTGTGGTTTAGGAGGAATTTTATTTTAGGGAGGGAAAAGAAAGCCTCATGTTTTCAGTAAATGAATGCTTTAATTTCTTTACATGGCTAGAATCCAGAAGAGATGAAGGCTACAGGGATCTCATTTCTCAGGCCTGGGGGAGTCTTTAGCAGAAATTTGGAGTTGGATGTGACACAGTTTACCACCTGCTGACCAGCCAACCATGGACAGGACGGCTTTGCCTCCCCCAGGGTAATGCTGTCAGTGAAGATCTGCCACATCAGCACAGGAAACAGCACTTTTCTTGCACATCTTGTTTTAATTTTGGAGAAGTTTCCAGGGACTCGTCTAAGTTACCAGGCAGAGCCTTCAATTTTGTAATTAGTCATTTGTATGCAGTCTATCTTGTGGCCTTTCCTCTCTATAAATATAAAGCCAGGAGGTAAGATCTGATCTTTTAGGCCAAGTCTGGGATCTGAAAGCAGTTGTGGTGTACGAGAGAAATGAAATCTTTCTATTTGGGTTTATTGATGACTTATACCTGGCTAACTTCCAAAAAGAATTTGCAATGACTTAGAGCAGGGGTGTCAAACTCATTTTCACCAAGGGCCACATCAACCTCATGGTTGCCTTCAAAGGGTGAAATAATTTTAGGACTGTATAGATGTAACTACTCCTTAACTGTTAAGTTGAAATTACATTTGGCCTTTTGAAGGGCAGCCACGAGGCTGATGTGGCCCTCAGTGAAAATGAGTTTGACACCCATCATACAGTAAAAAGCACGTATACAATAATGCCATTGAAATAGTTATAAAAATGAAAAGATATTAAGAGGGGGGAAAATAAATACTATTTGTGAAAAACTGAGGCCACTGTTAACTTGAGGATTATTTCAAGTTAGTTCTAAGCTTCCTGGAAGTCTTGTCAAAAAGGTAAGAATAATAGGCTGCCTCAGTGTCACTGAAAGATAAAAGGAAAAGTTAATCAAGAGAGATGATTTATTTTTCATGAACCAAATTTTAAAAGGAGAATTTAACTTGGGAATAAACTTTAGACTTTAGAGGTCTATCCAAAACTCCTGCTTCTGAAAACTCCTCTTTGAGCCTATACACAGGAAAGGAAGTTTTACTGTAATTGCCAAGTCCTGCCATGTAAAAAAAAAATGTAGCATCTGGAGTCCAGAGAACTGGGTTCTAGTCCCAAGACATTTTGTCTTACTTTCTTCTTCTATAAAATAAGCAAATGGATCCAAAGTTTTCTAAGATCTCTTCCAGCTCCAACATTTGGTGATTCTGTAATGATATCAAGTGTAGCTGCAAAATATTCCAACAAAGACTGTTGTTCAGCACTTTGTGCATCTCTTGCAAAATCACTGTCATTTTTTGCCTCGGGTCTAGAACTCTGATTGATTATTCAACCTCAATCCTTTTCTGCACTTTTATTTTTCTTCTGTGTTGGGCAAGATAGTGCTATTTCCTCTTAAAACATGACTCCAAGGGAGACATAGGCCACCTATTTGCTTTGCGGTGCTCCTGTACCATTTTATTCTCTCATTCAGCAAATGTTTATTGCACATATATTCTGGGCCAAGCACTCATTCTACAGTAATCAGTGAAGTTGCTTCCTTCCCAGAATTTTTGTGGGGGGGAGGAGGGAAGACAGGAACATATTATACTCGGCAGCCTCTCCAGCTACTCCAATGAAAGGAAGCATAAATACTTGCTCATCAAGAGACACCATCTCCTGCAGTTCCATTTGGTATCTAAGTCTTCTCAAGGTTCTAGCCTAAATACAGGTTTCACTAAAGAGGGATAATGTTATATAGCAAAATGCTAAGTTTGTGGCCATCCCATAATTTGCTGATAGGACCAGAGTACACAAAAGTTCTCTAGCTCTTGGATACCAGCTTTGATATTATGTCCTATAAGTGTTGATTCTATTCAGATTAATTTTTGTTGATTAACCCATAAGTTCCCCCCACCTCCTGCAACTTTCAACCTCTACACATACTCAAACAGTAAGCCCTAATTGGTTCTACCTCAAAATATATTCCCACTTTCATAATTTCTATCACTTCCATGGTACCACCAGTCTTCTAAACATCATTTGGCTTCTGGATGTTTGCAGTAGCCTACTATCTGGATTGCATGTTTTCACTCCAGTGCCCTCTACAGTCCATTTTACCTGCAGTTGCTGGGATAATCTTAAATATGTAGAGCACACTGAGTAGCACTTGCCTGGTTAAAGCCCTAACAAGAGTGTCCAGCCTGCGGACCACAGGCTGCATGTGACTCAGGATGGCTATGAGTGCAGCCCAACACACAATTACTTAAAATATTATGAGTTTTTTGTATTTATATATCATGATGTATTTAATGTGTGGCTCAAGACAACTCTTCTTCCATTGTGTCCCAGAGACACAAAAAGGTTGGATATACCTACTATAGTGACAGACCCTATCACACTGAGAATAAAATTCAATTTCTTAGTGTAGCCTTAAAGCTTTTGCCTAATCTCAACCCCACTTAGTCTCTGACCTTCTCTCCCACCACTCCCCACTTCACTCATTCCAGTTCAGCTACAC